TATATATATATATATATATAAAGGATCTCCTAACTAGTTCATGCAATGTCATAGTCGACATTAGTATATTCCAATATCTTAGAGTTGGTAATTTGGTATCTATATATATATAAAGAGGAGAAACAAAACATTAAATTATATTATCATGCATTAAATTTTATTATTCCTCCAAAATGTTCAACATTCAATTTCATTAGTTTTCACATATCACCTAAAACTGTTACATTCGGTTACAAAACATTTAATTTATTTATTTTTTCTTTTTTTCTTTACTCATCTCAATTGTGTAACGTTTTTTATCACATCTTTCCCATCAATCACATTATGTAACAATCATTATTTGATCTGATCTGAAAGAATTCATACTTATTTCCTTTTCAAAATTTCATTTATCTTTGATTACATAAAAATAGTTTTATACAATAATTCAGATTCCGAAATGATGTAATGATCATTCTTCGATATGATCTGACAGGATTCATGCCTATTTCCTTTTCACTTTACTTATTTGTAGAATGAATGTAACAAAATAATTATTTATATATGTATTATATATATATTCAATTTTTTTTATGCTTGAGTACGCAAAAATGATTCACACAATAATTCAGATTCCAAAATTACAAAATCAAATAATTAAGAAATAAAACTAAAAATATCCAGTCATCTATTTCAATATATATATATATATATATACACACATATATATATATATCCACCTACAAGAAAAAACAATATATCTAATTGCATAAATCATTAATAATGAATTATATTTCAAACACCAATATATCTCATTACCATGTTGCCATATTCGAATTTTATATATTTTTTCTTATTCTCAATCCAAATGTTATGGTGCAATATTATGTTACTAATGTCATTTAACTAAAAAGCATTACCTAATCAAGAGATGTCAAATTTTCTATGGTGTTATATTAAAATATTGTATATAAAATATAAATGTTGTATATAAAATATTTTTTAATAATATTTAGAATTATTTTTTTAATTAATATTTTTTCTTGAATTAAATTATGATTTATTATTTTTGTTTTTCTTATTTTCTTATTTTCTTTTCTATGAATTTGTATATGTGCAAATGCACGGGTTGATTACTAGTTAATCTAGCAAATCCAGTCCTATGAAATTACAATATGAAACAATAAATAAATGTTATGCCATTTTAATGGATAATAATTGAGAACCATTAATTAGGAAAAAAAAAAACACAACCTTTTCACTAAATCATGTTCCTGTTATGGTTTCATCTACAAAAAAATTAAAAGAAAAGGATGAATTCATCAAATAAAAAAAGAAAAAGCAAAAGTAAATATATATATGCCCCATTCTGAAAGAGGGCTACATAAATTTTATGAAATTCTCGTTTACCCATGAAAAATAAGGGAGGGAAGTTATACCCCTCTTCTGGTATGACGTCGGAGGCAGAGGCGGCGCCGCCGCCGGTAAAGCCTCGGAGTGGTAAGCTATGCACCATTTGCAACGCCAGACGGGCGGCGCTCAAGCGTCCCAAAACCCTCGAGCAAGTACTATTTTGATTCTCTTCTCCCTTTTCTCCACTTTTGTCTCCGCAAGTTTTTCTTGAACTTTGATTCTTCCCTTTCTGTAAAGATATGCAAGGAGTGCTTTTTCGAAGTCTTCGAAGACGAAATTCACCGAGTTATCGTAGATAATCAACTCTTCAGGCGGGGTGAACGCATCGCCATTGGAGCTTCTGGAGGAAAAGGTGAGAATTTTTCTCATTCTTTTCCCCGTTTCGTGTTTCGGTCTGAGAAAATCAACTTTCGTGTTTTTTTATTCCTGTTTTTTGTATTTTTGCAGATTCCACTGTGCTTGCTTATGTGCTGTCCGAATTGAACCGCAGGCACGATTACGGGCTGGATCTTTTCCTGCTCTCGATTGATGAGGGCATCACTGGTTACAGGGATGATTCACTTGAAACTGTCAAAAGAAATGAAATCCAGGTATTTGATCCTTTTGGTTTCGAGTGATTAAATTGCAATACATGGAGTTGATTCCGGCACCAATGTTTTTGCTTCTGTTGTTACTACACTTTATGTGATGCTTGTTGCATAGAAAATTAAGGTTTGGATGTTTTAAACTATAACCATCTTATACTTTTAGTGTGTTGGAGTTGATGTTTAGAAGAAATATCAATGATTTATCACTTAGAGGAGGAATAATAGGACTTTATTGCTACAAGTATGGATTATTGAAAATAATTGATGCCCTTAGCTCTATACTTAGTCACCAAGCCTTTCTTTTCTTTTCAAGTTTTGATGGCTTTTAATGAGGTTCATTTGCTTTACAAACTTTCAGTATGGTCTTCCTCTCAAAGTTGTTTCATATAAGGAATTATATGGGTGGACGATGGATGAAATTGTGAAGCTTATTGGTTTGAAGAATAACTGCACTTTTTGTGGTGTTTTCCGTCGCCAGGTACATTGTTCTTTTCTATCACTTTTGACACAGTTTTAACGACCTTTAACATCCCCCACCCCCCGAACTTGATATTGTAGTATGTTGTGCTGTTCAACATTTGTTAATTAAAACAAGGAAATATGTTATTGTTTCTTATTCCCATGGAACTTCGCTTTGCGTTTCATGAAGTGTTGGATTCCAAATAGTGATTTAAAAACTTCACTTTGTTTTCAAGGCCCTTGATCGTGGTGCTGCGCTTTTGAAAGTAGATAAGCTTGTAACTGGACATAATGCTGACGACATAGCTGAAACTGTCCTTTTAAACATATTGAGAGGTGATATTGCCAGGTATAGTGTTACGTTTTTAGAAGTAAGATTAGTGGGCGTGGATAGGGTAATTGAATGTGTTTTAAATAACGTACCCGTGGTCATACCGGTCTAGCCACTGGTAATATCGGTGGTATTGCGACTAGCAAATACAATGAAAATATAAATATGCATAAAATATAATGCCAAATATAAGAAATTAAAAATTAAATTACCATATTCGTTAAATTTGAACTTCTCAGTGAGATAAAATAAAGCATTCAACTATCAATTTGAATTTTAACATTTTAAGTTAGTAATTTTTTATTATTTTTTTTCTTCGAAATTTTTGTATTTGTTGATCGGTATTTTGGACCTCATTTAAGGTATTATCCCGGAAAAATCAAATATTACCGTAAATTAGGTATTTTTTGTGTAATTGTACCGTACCAATGGCTGGTGTTCAGTATTATTGGCCTGTACGGTACGGTATTTTCAACATAAGTAAATTTCTTGCTCCACATGTTTTGTATATCAATTTTCATGATCTGTTGAAACACATTGTTGAAATGCCAGGCTGAGTAGATGCACCTCTATAACAACTGGTGAAGATGGACCTATTCCGAGATGCAAGCCTTTTAAATACACTTATGAGAAGGAAATTGTGATATATCCTTGCTATAATATGGCTCCTATTTTATTTCGTTTATATGGTTTACTTGTTGATCGATGACACAAAAATGTAGTTCTTAACATAGTCTCACGTATGCTTACTTCAAACGGCTGGATTACTTCTCTACTGAGTGTAAGTTTTTATTGCAATATTATTTGCTTTTGAATTTTTATATATTGTAGTTAAAAATTCTGAGATTTTTGGTCTGGTTACTTTCTTATTTATTTGATATATTTATTCTTTTCTTTCAATTTTTCCTTTTTTTTTTCCTAGGGGAAAGAGGACCCTCTAATGCAAGTAGCTAGTGTAAATTTTACAAATTTTGAAAATTATTGATTCTGGTTGCTTTACATGGTGATATTTTCCTTCTGAAATCCACAGGTATTTACTCCCTGAACGCTTATCGTGGTTTTGCTAGGGAATTCATCAAAGATTTGGAGAGAATCAGGTTAGGCACTAATTCTATTCCCATGTATTTAATATTTATTCTGTCTTCGTGGTGTAGGGAAGCGTACGAATGGGAAGGATAAACGAGATACTCTCTCGATAAAACTCAAATCATCTTTTCATTCACTAATTCATAATCAACTGAATAAAACAATAAATGAGAAGTCCTTTAAATAAGGTTCCTAAACCCTATTGTTAACTTGTCCAACAAGACAAGATCTCTTTTATAATAATATTTAATTACTAACTTACTCTCCAAGATACCTATGATGTTAATAATAATAATAATAATAATAATAATAATAATATACACCATTCTCCCCTAGTTCGGAAGGCTTCGCCCTCGATGCTGATGCGTTCTCGTGATCGGCGTGTGGTGTCGAACTCATGGTAGGAAACCCCCATCGTTTTCCCCGGTCGAACACGAAGGATGAATGTCGTCCAACAATTCCGATGGTAAACATAATCATTGGCAAGGATTGAATTGTTGCAAATGCACATGTACACGCCTCCATATGCATAACCCACACACCGGAGTTAACACCAAACATACCACATCGTTCACCGCACTCAAATCCATAACTACGGCCAAACATCCCGTTGTTGAGAGACTTTGGGATAGACAATCGGAAAATGGCCCACCAGTTATTGAGCCTCGACTTCGGCTCCGAAAAACCATCTTTGGCCAAAATACTCAAAAAATCGGGTGTGAATGACGGCTTCCCATTCGAAGACTCAACCGTTGCGATGTCCTACGCGGGACCCATATTGCTGCAAAAAGATGTCTTCGTCACCGGAGGCTCCTCATAAAAAATGAGCAGACCGTCGTATAGTGGCCCGTCATCTTCCTCAAAATTGCACTCTGTTGCTGCACATCTTGGTCGTCGTGCGCAGCAACGAGCTCAGTCTCGACGGGCGGAGGCGGCCACTCTCCGGAGAGATCCACCTCCGATATGGTCTTCTCTCCGTCTCATCCGCGGTTGTGGAGATCGCCGACGGGGCGCCTCGCCTGGACCACGACCTCCACTTCCTCCGTGAACTCTCCCACGCACACCCCGGTTGCCGGCGGCACGGTTCATCTGCAAATCCCATACCACGTTGTTAAGCGTCAAACGCAAATCCTTAATTCCCGTCGAAAGATCTACAAACCAATCCGTGAAACGCACGTCCAACAACTGTTACAAGTCGGTAGTCGATCTGTTGAAACCGATCGTTGAAGGTTGCGTCACGTCTTTCGTTTGCGGCATATTGTCGCCCCGACGGCATCGCGAATCGTACTGACTGCTGATACCAACTGTTGTAGGGAAGCGTACGAGTGGGAAAGATAAACGAGATACTCTCTCGAAAAAACTCACAATCAATTCATATTTTTATTCAATAATTCATAATCAACTGAATAAAACAATAGATGAGGAGTCCTTTAGANTGGGTCACCGATTAAAAACTCAAAAAAAAAATAAAAAATAAAAAAGAAAAGCAATAGGTTGTGCAACCGAGGTCACAATGTGACCCAAAGTTGCAACCGGTTGTTTTTTAAAAGTGGACACTTGTCTCTTTTTTATTGGTCAAATATAATTTTTTTTTTGTTTTAAAAAAATAAAAAATAAATATTAAAATTCATATTTTTTTATTCTCTACAAATAGAGATCACACTTGATATATTTTAGAGCACAATTGTATTTTTTAGATAAGTTAAAGTAAAATAATTTATTAGGTTGAGTTGGGTTGGGGATAAAGATAAATTTGATTGTAAGGTTGAGTGGTGTAGGTGGAGGGTAGAGAAACAATTTTTAATTATTAGGTTGGGTTGGGTTGGTTTGGGATAAGAATAGTCTTAAATAAGGCTCCTAAACCCTATTCCTAACTTGTCCAACAAGACAAGATCTCTTATAATAATATTTAATTACTTACTTACTCTCCAAGATACCTATGCTAATAATAATAATAATAATAATAGTCTACACCACTTCGCCATTCTTCTCTTATTTCAATATAACATTTTCGTTTCAGGCCAAGAGCTATACTCGACATCATAAAATCAGGCGAGGACTTTAGGATCTCGACTTCTACTAAAATGCCAGAGCAGGGAAATTGCGAAAGGTGTGGTTACATATCTAGCCAGGTGGGAAATTTTAAGCAAATAACGCTTTATGCAATTCTGTATCTAGAATTCCCACAATGTTTTGTTTTAAACTGTTGTACTTTTATCTTTGATTATCTGAAGAGAGTGAAAAATTCAAATATTTTTGTTCCCATCTCCAGTTATTTTCGTATCTTTCTATGCTAATAAGTTGATGTGGTTCCTCTAAGCAATACTTACTAGAAGTATCCGGAGATTTAGCTTATTAAGAAAACCTTCAGTTATCTTTCGAAATTATAAATACCCCCTTGAAGTTTGCGTTTACCTCAAATGCTCCTTAAAGGTGCGAATTGTAATAGATTAAACGCGTCGAGGGATATTTTTGTGATATTGAAAAGATAATTGGGTTCTTTTGTAATTAGACTAAACCTAAGGGTGGTTCTTGCACCTATCCCTTCATTTACTTTGATCAATCAAATATATAATAACCGATAGTGTGTCTTATAACTATACAGTAGTTATGATCATGTTGGTCGACCATTGTAGAAGACAATGTAATCCTTATATATGTTTTCTTAACTATCTGCAGAAATGGTGTAAAGCTTGTGTTTTACTGGAGGGACTTAACCGGGGTTTGCCCAAGCTTGGTATAGGGCGTAGCCGAATTTCTGACAACGAGCGGAATAAGGATATGAAAAAAACTAATGGGACAGAGAGTTTACAGAGCAAGCAATGTGGGAGCCTCGACTTCTGAGGTACACACTCATCACAAGCTGTAGTAGGCAAAGTATTATATTCTCATAAGCATGAAATAGTCCCAGGGTTTCAATTATTAGCTGTGGTTTATTTCTTAATGGATACGTTGTTTTCCATTTATGAAATTGGAAGTGGTGATATTAAGCTTTGGATTTTCTGTTCCTGGTCTTTAAAATTCTATGAAATGGATAGAATATGAGGACTAAGTTGTTTGGAAAGTAAGGATTGGTTTTGATGGTTGAATTTGGTGAGGGGTTAATATCTAATCATAGAAGATGAATTTTCATCTGAGATATAGATTCAAGTGTAGTTGATGGCTTTGAAAAAGAGATCACTGTGTATTTCATATCTGATGCTTATAAAATGGAAAAGAGATTATGTTCGATATTTAGATGTGGGCTATACATTGATGAAGAGAACAGGAACACAAATGATGCTGTGAGGTGCCCTAAAGGCTAAAGGTTAAGCGGGTCGATCTATCATACTATTTGAAATTCAGAGAAATATCATGCTTTTACTCTTGTTGTTTTTTAGAGTATGGAAATTTATATAATTGTTGAAAAAATATAGTTATATAACGGTTAGAGTTTGCCCGGACAAGAAAGATTTATTTAATAATGTATTTTGTTGAAGATGCACTTAGGGTGAAATAGTTTTGTTTATATAAGTATAAAAGTATAAAAGTATTTTTACCAGCAATCCTACTTATTTCTAATCCATCTGGAGCTGCTTCCAGTAACCACCAAAGTCTTACTAATTTTCCGGTGACAATTTTAAAATTCAATTAAATGAGTGTTTTTTTTTTTTTTCTTTTTTTGGAAGTGATATAATCTGGATATGTGTAAGACTGACCCACCATTGTGGAATTAATAATTATTGCTTGAAATTATCTCATAATTGTAGCTTCAATCACGCCACCTGCCCTAGAGAACTTAAGATTAATTAGTTGAGATCGACATTAACTTGTTCATTGCTGCTACTTCATGCGTGTACTGGTTAAGCATTCAGTGTGACTGAACATGCATAGCTTGATGATTAGTTGATTATGTGTAGCTCAAGTCCAAAATTATTTTACCATGTTGGTCCTCCTATTAATTCAATATTTTATAATGTGACAATTTCAAAATTGAAAATGACTAGGAAAAAAGGGTATATATGGGACCTCAAAAGAACGCGGATTGAACTCACTGCACTACACATGCAACCCAATCCAATTCCCATGGCTAAAAGACACTGCAATTCTTCACAATCTACATAAAACCATTATATATTTTTAAAGCTTTCATAAAAAAGAAATTTAACTATAATAATATTTTTTAGTGTTATAATTTGTAAACCAAATAAATCCAGGAAAGCAACATAAAAAAAAAAAGAAAAAAAAAAGAAAGAAAAAAACAGAGCCTGACATGTTGAAACATGAACGAGTGCATGTGAGGTGGCCGCTAGCTGGCCCAATTTAGCAATCGCGCGCCCAGCCACCGACACCTCGTTTTTTTGTTTCATTTTCTCTTTTATTTTCTTTTTTCCTCTCATAATCTTGTCATTTTCTCTGCCCTATTTTCATCATTATATTTAATTATGCTGTATTTATCATTCAATATTATCCTTCCACCACAAGATCATATTCGTTATCTACATTGTTTGTAACGAGCTAATCAAATGATAATAACATTTTCAAAAAGAGCAGCATTCGTTTCATGAAAAACATTGATACGTAGGGTTTTTAAAAATAACTATACAAACTGTTATTTACTATAACATGTGTGGAAATGATTATCAACTAATGTAATTTGAAATTAGCATATACATTGAACACGTGATTGAAAAATTATAAGATCTTCACGCGACTGGTGTTGTGCCACGGTGGGTAGTAGAACAATTTTATTTACTATACGCTCATTTACACATTTGACTAATACAATTTACTAGTAAAATGAATTAAATGTATTTGATGATGATAGCGGATTGATGTAAAATAATTGAACCTTATTTAGAAGATTTACACGTCAGATCCATTATTTAATTCATTTGATTAAAAACTCAATGTACGATCATTCTGGGGAGAGGTGATTGTACAACACGACAACATAACATATCCAAGATAAGTATAACACGACAACATAACATTTTCAAGATAACTATACAAACTGCTATTTAAATAATACTTATTTTACGAACTGCTAATCACATCTGTTGTTACAATTCATTATTAATTATTCACTGATACAATCCGTTATCCACTATCACCTAATAACTTAGCCAATATTTCTCAGCAATCATTTCATATCCTCCCAAAATGAGTGAGTTGTATTAATTTTCCATAAATCCTTCAATTGAGTAGATTTTATCACCTAATAACTTAGCGAATATTTCCCAGCAATCATTTCATATCCTCCCAAAATAAGTGAGTTGTATTAATTTTCCATAAATCCTTCAATTGATTAGATTCACCTTTTCATTGTCAAGATCAATCAATCAATCAACAAAGGGTGCTTGTTTATGAAATAATTTGTTTGAGTTATTTTGATTAACTATAATTAAGTTTGAAAAAGATGGTATGATTAGTTGTTAGTGGAATTTTAAGAATGTATTAAAATAATATTTAAAATAAAATGATTAAAATTGATGTGATGTAAAAGTAGGAGATAAATGATTGAAAATGATTGGAAATGATAGATAGTTAAAATTATGTGAGTGGATGAATAGTGAATTAAAGTTGTTGTGATGTGTAAGAATGATTATTTTGTATAATTTAATTATATAAATAATATTAAAGATAGTGGAGTTGAGTTAAAGTTGAGCTAGATTTTGAGTATGAATTGAATGAGAATGAAATAATTTATAAACAAGCATGCCCTAAAATTCTACTGTTGGGTCGATTATACGGATCACATACCGGCATCGTACTTAATCAAAACACATATCCTTATTCAAATTTAAATATTTTAAATTATTTTTTATTTTCTCTTTTCAAGATTTCTTAAATCTATCCTCGCCTGATACGTTGGTCACCCCCGGACTTGGGCTGGATCAAGGTCAATACGGATGGTGCCCACAATACATTTACAGGGGTAAGTAGTGCAGGCGGATTACTACGCGATAACATGGGTCGATGGATTGATGGATTTATTATGAATATTGGCCCTTGTACCATTGTAGGAGCCGAACTATGGGGACTTTTTCATGGTATTTCCTTGGCATGGGAACTTGGATTTCGACGAGTTATGGTCGAAGTCGATAGTCAGTGCGTCGTTAATATGGTTAATGGAGCGGAAGAACCAGTTGGACAGCATGAGGCCATAATGAAGGCCATTCGGGACTTAACCCAGAGAGAATGAGATATTCATATCCAGCATGTGCATAGAGAGGCAAATTTCAGGGCGGATCATCTAGCGAGAATGGCGGCCTCCTTCCCGGTCGATTTGCAGCGGCTCACGGCTCCCCCGCCTGGTGTTGGGGAATGACTTGAACACGACTCTATGGGGGTTTCGTTCCCCCGACAAGTCTTAGTCTAGGCTTCGGGCCTTCTTCAAAAAAAAAAAAAAAAGACTTAAGATACATATAGAAAAATTATATGCAATGATTTTTGAGTAATGATTTTTAGACCTTCACTAAATTTCTGCAATTTCCAGTAATAAGGTGAAAATAATATTTGACCAACAATATTATAATCAGATCATTTTCTCTCTCCGCGTCCTTTTTTCTTTTTTCGAACATAATAAAATTACAGTGTACAGACAGATAATCTCTTATTGCACTCACACTTGGACTTTTCTCTCTCTGAACCGCACTTTGGGCACTTTTAAATACACCATTTTTTCCTCATTCTCAAACACACACATTCTACCCGAAAACTACTCATTCCCTAATCCCACATTCTCTGGATTTACAAAATCCAACCAAAAAACCAAACACAGGATTACTCAAACAAAAAAATGCCGCTAGCGATAAGATTAGCGGCTCTGTTTTTGTTCTTCGCCATTGTTGCAGCCGAAAATCCTTACAGATTTTTCACTTGGAATGTCACTTACGGTACGATTTATCCTCTTGGCGTCCCCCAACAGGTACATTTTATTTTTAAAATTTCTCCCCTTTCTTTTTCATCTTTTTTATTTATTTTTATTCTTGTGAAGTTTTTATGTATTTATTTAATTGATGTTTGGATTTCAGGGTATTTTGATAAATGGGCAATTTCCTGGTCCTGATATTTTCTCAGTCACCAATGATAATATCATCGTTAATGTGTTCAACAGCCTGGATGAACCTTTTCTCATTCATTGGTAAGAACAGATAAATTCATTATTCACACATATTTTATTTTATTTATTTTTCTTGAAAAAACTAGCTCAAAAATTGTCTTAAAATGCTCATTTTTCCTCCCAGAGTCCGGGAAAATAGGAATTTCTTGCGTTTGAACATTTGACTCAGTATGTAGTACTCCCTCCATTTTGAAATATAAGGCATTTAAGGTTATTGCACAAATATTAAGGAGACATTAATTAATGAATAAATTGACTAAATTAACCTTATTTACTCTAATCACAACCACTCCACACTTCCTTAATTTCAACACAATGAGGGTATATTTAGAAAAAAAATGCAAAAATTTGTCTTGATTTTTGAGCGCGCCTTATATTTCAAAAAAAATGAGAAATCTTTATACGCCTTATATTTCAAAATGGAGGGAGTATGTACAAATAATTTTGACCTGGCAAGTATAAATAATTGTTGATTTATTTTGGTCTATGAGACTGGGAGATCTTGTATAGCTGTTTGACATATTTATTTGAATGATTAATGACTAATCTGCGAAAGTTAAGTGTTAACAAAGTCTCTTGGGGCAATTTTTAGTTTTTTAATTTCGATAAAGCTATTGTACGGAGAAGTAAAAGGCAGTAATTATAAATTTATATTACTGTGTGTCCGTCGTGAAAATTGGACACGTGATCTGGACGCAAACGCGTCCCAGAATTTAACAAGATAGGCACACAGTCCTAACTTACGGCGATCGAGGGGAATAATAGCTTTTCTTGAAAAAAAAAATAAAAATATATATATATATATATAAAATAATAGTATTTAATAAATATGATAATAAATATATTGTGCAATAATAAATACTGACCACCAAATAACATCCGTGAGATGTCCGACGATTTGAAACCATCTTCACAAGTAGGTGAAATCCACCATTATTTAGTAGTTGAAATGATAATGTAAAATATTATTTTTCTAAAAAAATAAAAAAAATAATAAAAAAAATATTACTACATTTTCTAAAATCCGAGGAAAACATTTGAAAATTATTTAAGGTCGATTAAATTTTCCAGCCTTTAATTTTATAGGCGGCGAATTTAAACATTTCCGACCAAGATCAAAAGGTAACAGCTGGAAACAGAAAAAAGACATGGATATACGGAAAAAAATATTAAAAGAAGTCACATGGGGTGTTTGCACCATTTGTCAATAAGCCTAGTGATTTTGATCTATCAAGACAAAAGGTGTGGCATTTTCAATCATTGATTCGTTTGACTTTATTAGATTCTTTTATTCTTCATTTTCACTACTTTATTGATCATTTCTTGAATATATCGATAATTATTCAAATACAATCAATAGTAATGTAAATACAACAACTTAATACTACAATTTTAGTAGAAATTGTGTTTATGTGTTTCTGAGCTACATACATTTGATTTTTCTTTTTAAAAAGGCAAATTTGTCCCTAATACTACGACCTTTATCGAAGTTGCAATTTAATTATGACCTTTTCATTTTGTAAATTATATCACAATCTTTAGTTTGTTGCAAACAGTCTGAAAACAATCATAGAAAAACTGATGTGGTCGAACAACAAAATGAAGATTGTGATATAGTTTGTACGGAATATGCAAATCAGTGCACCAATTTGCAGCAAACTGAAGATTGTGATATAATTTGCAAAAGTGAAAAAATCGTGATTAAATTGCAATTTCGAAAAAGGCCATTATATTAAGGGAAATTTTGCCTTTTAAAAAACGTTGACATTTTCGTTGTAACTTTTTTTGAAATACATTTGTGTATATATTCCTAACCGAAGAAAACGATTATAGGAATGGGATTCAAAATCGGAGAAATTCATTCGAAGATGGAGTTTACGGGACAACTTGCCCAATTCCTCCCGGCAAAAACTTTACATACATTCTTCAAATGAAGGATCAAATAGGGAGCTTTTTCTACTTCCCATCAACGGCATTTCACAAGGCTGCCGGAGGTTTTGGAGGGATTAGGATCCTAAGCCGGCCATTTATACCCGTCCCTTTTGACGAGCCGGCCGATGATTATACCCTCTTAATTGGAGATTGGTACACAGCTAATCACACTGTAAGTACTTAATTAATCTCATCTTCTTGCTGCATTGTTTTTTGGCATGTGATTTGTTATGTGTTATGATATGAATATGATTATTAGTTGGATACTTAGCAAAACATCCTCTATGTAGAATCTGCTTTGATGGGAAACTTTATGGGTTTAGTTACTTTTGTTTTTCCCCAACTTTTTTTACAGGAAAGTAGGACAATTTAATTTGATTTTCAAATGTTGTGGTCTAGAGTTTTGAATTTGAAGCTAGAAAGTTACATTTGGATTGTTGTTTAAATATTGTATGCCCTCAATTGTTTTAGAAAGTGAGAAAGAATGTGTTTCTACAAGGGATTTCAACAAAAAAAAAATAACAATTATTTCTACAAAGAAATATCATATATTCATATATTAGAGAAAAACATAAAATGGCTATTTAACCAATTTTGAAAAGTGCCACGTTTTATGTAGATGATAACATGAAAGTACGATTGCGAGTCACAAATGATGTACCAAACTATTTTTGACTATTTTTGAGGAAAAAGAGATAGATTGAAAGCTTATTTTATTTTAGGAAGCTAATTTACGATTTTTTTAATTTCTTAAAAAAAAATAAAATTTCCATGTCTTTTCTGGTGGATGTGTAGCAGCATTTGCTTGAGTAGTGTTAGACTGTTCGTCATGTGGTGACAGATCTCAACCAAAATTTAATCATGGGTCATGGGCTTTCATTTTTACTATTATAAATAAGTGTCGGTAATTTAGTGGGCCCTCTCAATAATAATAGCTTAATTTTAGTGCAGAGTCTGCTTCCTTTGACCTTTGCTTTCCTTTTCCTGGCCCATTTACAGCTGGATCATTTTTGAACCAGCTACCCCTCCAGAAAATAAATAAATAAATAAATAAATAATAATAAACCTAAACTTTGTAAATTTGGTTATATTTATATTTAATAATCATAAACTTATACAAAAAAAAAAATTAAAGGAAATGGACAAAGCAATCGGGACCTTTCTAACGTATTCTAGTGGGGAAAAGGTGAAAATTCAGTTTTAAGGAAATAGACAAACCAATTGGGACACAGCATATTCAAGTTGTGATAGTGAAAAATAATTTGTCAAACATGAATGAAATCTTTCTTTGGCGTGAAATTATGCATAATTACAAAAGTACCTAGGAAATTTTAATATTATTAATATCCAGACATTTATTCTAGTCATACAAGATGCTACCTCACATGGGGGTGTTTGGGTGGGAATGAAATTCCTTGTTCCACTTTATGCTCTATTTAATATTTAATTTCATTAGATGAATGATTATATATGTTTACCTGTCATCCATGCAATTGAAATGAAACACGAAATGAAACATGCTAATGGTACATGGAATCTTATCCCATTTGCACGGTAATTTTCAAAATTTTAATGGTACTTGTAATTTTAAAAAGAAAACAAGTGAGGCATTTTCACAATTATGCTTAAAGTCGGGGGCAATTCTTGATTTCTTGTAATTGCCATTTTCCCCTAGTATTTACTAAAAAAAAAACTTCATGGTGCACAAAACCTTTTTTTTTTCCATGAGCTAACATGACTTTGTTCAGCTGCATATAACATGAACATTTTATTTTATTTCATTTTTTCTTTCCATTTTTTAATTCTCTTAATCTTCCTACATACAGCGATTGAGGTCAATTCTGGATGGGGGTAACAAACTACCTTTCCCTGACGGCATTCTCATCAACGGCCGCGGCCCAAATGTCACCTCATTCACAATCCAACAAGGTATAACACGATATAATTT